ATAATTTACTACTACTTAATCCTACTACTACTTGTACTAATAATAGTCTATGCACATTCTTGTTTTTGCATCACTAACAGTAGCAATAGAAGCAGAAAAACATTATAAAAACATACATGGGTTGCTTCTTCCTTTCTCAGATTGTAACAAACACCGTTGTCTTTGGTTGTCACTGCCTCCAAAAAATGCGTAATTTAAACTGTTAACATGAACCTCGTTTAACAAAGCTCATCCAAGTCTGTGCAGAGTACAGGGTCCTCTTTCAGACTGCAGAGTAAGCAACAACTGAGTTTGTTAACCCCGAGATAAGAGAAAGTGAGCAACTGATGCAACAGGCTAAATTCAACAAATAATATTTGAGCTCACTTTTCCAGTCACATCATTAGACAACAAGCTACAAGCTAATTTTCATTTAAAGGAGTCATCATCACCCAGTTCAGAATAAACTGACTTGTTTGTTGCAGCAGTGTGCCGGGGCACTGACAAAAAATGATCAGACAAAAGCAGGTTCTGAGGAAATACTATTAAGTATTCACTGTTTCTGTGAAAAGTTATGTTGTGATTTTTCAGATTAAAAAAAATAAACAAATGAATAAATCAGTGATTCCTGAGATTAGGGACAAAACAGGTTTTAATTTTCTAAAATATATTTTTTGATTTTTCAAAAACATATTTACATACAATTGTTACACAAAGTTTTGGCTGTCTCACCATGTTTTGGTACAATCTCCTAACATTTTTTAATAATTTATGTTTTTGCTGGAGAAGTGCAAGGTTTTTGTCAACACCGTCAGACACAAAGAAATGCAAAAATATATATTTTAAATTAAGTTGTTTCAGCTATTTTGACTATTAGCAGCTTCTCTATTCTATTTTTTATGCACATATGTTTTCAAAGTAATTATACCACATTTAAAAGTAAGATTATTTTGGCTTTTTATTATTAGAGTTAAAGTCATACATATTTTCAGAAGCTTGTATTTAATCTCTATAAGAAACAATCATATTAAGCAGCATGCAAATTACACATTTATTGATAAAATTACGTATTTTTATTGGAAGATCATGAGGGAGGAAAATATATGGTTCTCCAAAAGTGAAAAATAAACAAAAAATCCATATTATGGAGTTGACAAGGTGCAGACGGTGGTGACACAATAGTAGAAAACAAGATATTATTTCTTTCAAAATGACCATTAAACCTTAACAACCTTTGTAATATCACAAGACACATCATAACAATTCTGTTTTTGCACATGTCATAGTTCGCCAGCAAGCAGCTACCTACTACTCCTTGATTCCTAAAGTTCTCTGTGGTTGTGTGTTTAGACCCTGCTGTACTTTCTCTCCTTTTGTCTCTCTGTGCTTGTTTCCAAAACCTTCTCTTCTGCCTTTTTTCTC